AGTATTTATGTACATAAATACTAAATATGTTGTCTATATTTGATTTTTAATGGATTTATTTTAACTATTTATGTGGGGCTTTTTAATTGTTGATGGGGTTTCTGATTTTAACCGTGAGCTGCCCAGAGTCACCCGTTGGGGGGAGATGAGTGGCATACAAATTTAATAATAAATAAAAATAAATAAATAAACAAACCCAGATTCTAGTCCTATCTTAAGCATGAAGGCTGGCTGGATGACTTTGTGCCAGTCACTCTGTCTCAGTCCTAGACTGGGAAGCTGAGAACCACCTATCTATTACACTTCACTGGACCAGCATGATAAATTATGGTCCGTAAGCTTCAGTGAAGATGGGTTCATCCTGCAAGGGACTGATTCAGGCTGATTGTAATAATATAAAATGGAATATTACAATATATTATCTGGTGATATGGAATCTTCTTTATATACATGACACTGAGATTTGTCTTTCACTTTCATTCAGTATAAGTTAGTAGATAAAAAGGTAGACGTAGCAAATCTTCTCAGTGCTGGTACTGTACTGTAGTTATGTAACATACTCCACAAAGAGGTTCATTCTATCCCTTCTCTATTAAATTGTGAGAAGCCAAGTGATTACAATGTTCTTCCTAAGCATGTTTGAAATGTACCAAATTTATTTTGTATTCTACTACTGGTTGTTTGGCTTATATAATTTCAGAGGACACATTATTTTTGCTTTTGTTTCTTTTTCTTTTTGTCAACAGCTTTGCAGCTGTGTTTGTGCAAAAAAAGTGAGATTCAAATATGGTTAAATCTAACAGGAGACTGTTTTTATTTTTCTGCAGAGATGCATATTTGAGATTAGCTAACGTTGTGCTAAGGCACAGAGCCCCATTTGCACAACATGCTTAACTGCTAATGGGGGAGGGTGGTATGAAAATGTTATGCAAACTCCAAAACCACAGCTAATTGACCCAGCCAATTAACCAGACAGCTTAAACAGAGACATTTTTGTTTGGGGCTAAACTAATTCCCATCAGTCAACCAACACTCTCCACAATGTGAAAGCTACTTTGTGTGTGTGTGCTTTAAGTTATTCTTGATTGCTGGCAACTGTCTGGACAAGTAAGTAAACTTGAGGGTTTAACATGAGGGTTCACTGTCCCTTCCAACATCCGTGATCACACCAAAGTTCCAGAGAGATCGTATAAAAAACAGAATTTTTTAATACAATCTATTTCTGTAACCATTTCATCCCAGCAGCTCCTTGGAAGGGGGAAGGTGAAAAGGAAACAGAAATGGGTGGGGACAGTATATGGCCCCCTCCAAAACCTGTTAAATAGTGGCATTGATCCTGCTCTTGCCAACAGAAATTCCCCATCCCCCATCCAGAGGCAGGAAGTGGTGAGGGTTGTAACTGCCTCCCAACCCTCTTTGTCTTTGGCTGAAAGGACTAAAACATGGCTGCCAGCCAAACAAATCCATTGTTCCATATGATGTGTGATATCAGTCAAAAGTGACTGAATTCACTGGAGGACATGATCACTAAGTTAGCCATGACTTGTAAACAAGGCCAGTGTGATCCAGCCAAACTGTAGTCCGTGGTCTGAAAAACCTGGATTCAAATCCCTAAACTAAACTAAGTGGTCCTGACTAGGTGATCCTCTCTCTTTTTCCTCTAATAAACAGAGGAAAGAATGAAAATCAGTGACCAATCTTAGAACGCTATCATGAGAACATCTGCAATATAAAAATTACACTGTCAACTTTGAGTGCCAGGGAAACCTTTTTGAAGGAAGATTTAATATGCGAATCTAACAATGAGGTCTTAATGAATAAATTTAATTTGTTAGTAATCATGCATAGAATTATGGTTATCTCAGGTTACCTGAGGGACCATCTCACGCCCATTACATCAACCCGTCCTACCCAGTCAGGCAGAGAGGGCATGTTGCAGACCCCATCAGCAAGAGAATGTCGGCTGGCGTGGCCCAGGAGGAGAGCCTTCTCTGCTGTTGCCCCTGCCCTTTGGAATAATCTCTCCCCAGAGGTGTGGCGGGCCCTTATCCTCCCAGTTTTCCAGAAAGGATTAAAGACTTGGCTCTGCCAACTTGCATGGGGTGATAGGAGTTTTAATCGTCCCGGTGGTTAGTGCCCTGATGACTCTGAGTTATTCTCCAATTCTCCATCGTTCTTGGAATTTATTTATTATTAAGATTGTTTTTATATTGTATTTTAATTCATTTTATCTCTGCTGTAAACCACCCAGAGTCATTTCAACAAGTTGGGCGGTGACAAATTTAATATATAAATAAATAAATATAAATGAATTATACTTTAATCACATCTTTGCACACCCAAATTTAGCAAAAAAATATTTGTGCACTTTTTCTAGCAGAGCTGAAATTTTCAGCTATATGACAAATGGGTAATTCATAAATTATCTGGATTTAAAACTCTTGCTCCACAGGCTGTATTTGCAATTGCTAACATGGATCCAAACCATTATTCTATCCAAATGCTACAGCCCAGCCATTCTTGTTTTTAGTAGGATGGAAAGTGTTTAGGATCAATATGTAATTTGCAATTACGTGAAATATTAAAATGCAGCATAGGTCCCTTCAAATCAGTCCAGTTTAACAGTGTCATTATCTACCCAGGTATTCATTAAACTACAGTGAAGGGCCAGCCTTGAGTGCGAAATGCTATTCTGTAGCCTCCTTCACTACTGTGGTCTGCTGAATGTTCATTTCATCTTGCATGAAATTTCAAGGCGTCCAGTCTGAAAAAGTTAATCGTTAGCCACGGCCATCGTCCACCTCACGATGACGCCCGAAATTAGGAAAAGAAAAACGTTAGCCCGAAGTGCCGCTCGTTTCAATGGAAATGTCTCCACACTGCACATAGCCAGAACTGCTCTAAGCCTTGCTTCATCCCCCCTTCCAGTGACAGCGACGCGCTACATTTGCCCAGGACTGGGGATGAAGTCCTCGGCATCCCGCGGGGCTCAGAGAGGCAGCCCAGCCCCAGCCGCTTTCCCGAGGCCTCGAGAGGGGCAGCCACGCCCCGATAGGTTAAGAAGCCCCCTGCTTGTTCCCCAAGGCACCAAGCTCTGCAGGGGACCCTCCGCCCCGTTTGCCCCCCAGCACCGGCTTCCATGCTCGGCCGGATCCGAGGCTCCCAGATGCCCGCGTGGGTTGGCGCCTCCCGCGCGCCGCCGGGCACGAGGGCTGCCTCCCCCGCCGAGGCCCTCTCCCTCCCGCGCCGCCAGAGCAGCCCACCTGCGGCCCATGGTGCCGGCGGGGCCGGTGCGCGACGCTCCCCGCACTTGCGTCCTTCGAAAACCGCCGCGCCTCCCTCCCGACGCCACAGGCCAGGAACCGGCGGTTCGCCCGGCCAGTCGTGCCTCAAGAGGCCCCACAGCGTCACCTGCCGGTCCGGAGGCCGCCAGCAAGGGTCGTGGTTCCGAAGGGGAAGGAGCCCCGCAGGCGGGCGGAAAACCGGGCATGACTGGGACGGAAAGTGAAAGAGTGCCCCTGAGCAGGAGCAGAGCGCTTCCGCTTCACAGCCGCCTCCGGCACGGCTCGGAAGCGATTTGCAATAAAGGTTGACCCCTGACTGCTCTCGCTGCGAGAAGCGAGCGCTGTTTCATTTCAAAGACGCCCAGGAGCGGGGAAGTCAGCGGAGGCAAGGCGCCAAGTAGAGCCTGCCCCTCACTAGAAAATAACGTCGCCTGCCCAGGTTTGAAAGGCCGACTGACTCTGCGGCTAGTAGTCGGAGGTTCTGCCTTTCAATCTGCCGGCATGCCTCCTAAACTCATTTTGTTTTATATTTAGTATTTCTGGTACCCGTGAGGGTAAGGTAAGAAGGTTTTGTATTTCACATTATAGCTATGGCCTTCGCTCTTTTTCCCGAGGATTTTCATCGAGAGGAAATTGAAGCGCTCCTACTGCACAATACTCTCCGATTCTGCTTAGTCTGAGGGTTGCTGCTTTTGTTCAGGAGCTCCTGTCTCTCTGTGACCCAATGGACATCCCTTTTGCCAAGATTGTAGGTCAGTAACTGCATCTCTGAGCTCCTGTAAACTCATGGTTGTGTCATCAGCGAGAATATCTGACTGCTGTATTTGGTCTTCTGTCTGTCTTTTTAAAAAATTGCCTTTGATTTTCCAAGCATCGGGCATAGGCATCCTTTCCTAACTACAGTGAGGCCAAAATGACAAAACGTAAGTTAGGACATCACACCAAAGCTCTACCCTTTCCTACTTGCATGGCAATGTCACAGGCAACCATTGTAAAGGGCAGAGTTGGCATTTTAATGCCCGTTTCATTGTTTGTTCTCTCTTCCCACCGCAGATACCTATGGTGTCAGGGTCTTCTCCACTTACTCCTGCTTCTCATTAGGTGTCATTAAAATAAAGCTTCATTCTTAATGCTTCCAGTGAGCAGTCTGGTTTTACTTCACATTGTATTGAATGATTTGTTCCAAGCTTTTGATTTATGATTTGTTCTCTTTTTCCAGCACCACAATTCATGGGCATCTCTTTGCCTTTCTTCAGCCTTTCTGATGATCCAGCTTTCATAGCCATGTTATAATTGAGAAACTATGGCCTTGACAATATGTGCCTTTGTTGTCAGTGTGATATCTCTGCATTTTAAGATTTGGTCTAGACTTCTTGTGGTTTTGTTTTTCCCCAAGTAGCAAATGTCTCTTTATTTCATGGCTGTAAAGTCTAGGAAGATAAAGTGTGTTACTTCTTCAACTTGTTCTTTAGCTTTCTGTACTGGTTTGGCATTGCCTGTAGACATTGTTAGTTTTTTCAATATTGAGCAGTAGACAGTCCTTTGAACTCTCTTCTTTCACCTTCAACAAGAGATTCCTTAAGACGTCCTCATTTCCAGTTATCTGGTATTAGGATCTAATATCAACACCAAGGGCTGCTGTTGGAACACAGAGTAATTGAAAATTTTCATTCACAAACTAAAAATATTATTTAAGAGTGTAAAAGCCTTTTTAGACAAATTCATGGGTGTGGATTCTCTTTTGGTCAAGTAAGTCAGATGGCCAAGTGATGTTGCTTTGATCAGGGACAGCAGTCGCTAGCTTGCTTACAAGCTTCTGTGTGGCATCTGGCTGGCCTGAGTTAAAAGAAAGAGAATACAGAAGCAGATAGATAGTGGTCCTGTCACATCTCAGGCTGTAACAGGAGTGGGCAATACTTGAACAGTTGGGAGTCACAACTCAGCCCTTGGTCTACTGAGGACTCCAGGAAACTTTAGGTGACGCAGCAAGAGCACTACAAATAAATTAGCTGAAATGTTTCATCCTGTATTTTTATGAAAGTTATGGGTGGGAATTAGAGTGGGAAGCCTCTAAGAGAAACTCTTACCATTCCCATCATTACCTTCCCTGAAATCCTAAAAACAGTCCAAAATTATATGGCCAACATTAATCCATTATGACAGTATAATCTTGGCTGCTTGGCCCACTACAAATGAGGAGCTGGTGGGTTATATAAGGCCCACGGGGTGTCCCCATCTCTCACCTTTGCCACACAATAGGTTTTTCTTTTTATTCTGATCTTCCTTCTATGCTATCCTCACTGGCTGACTGAACAGTATGAGATACAGATGCCAGGAGACTTGAATGTGCACCATGAACAGAATATCATAGGAAAGGCAGTATAAACAAAGTGTCAAATCAAAATCATGAGAATAAAAACATCAGTAATTTTTTTCCCCAGATAAAGAACTAGTCTGACAATATATCATGATTAAATGAAATGGAGAGTTTTAACTTTACACATTAGATCATGTTTTTGGACTCACTAATACATTTAATATTTAGGTATGAGGGAATTTAATACCTAAGTCAATCAATTGTTCAAATCAATGCCTAAGTCAATCAATTGTTCAAATTGATCAAAGCTTTCTGTATCTTATAAATGGCACATACTACCTTATAATGTGGATTAAACTATACTAGAAGTATTGTTAGAAAGCTGGCCTATACACATCTATCAGCCTCCTCTGGCTGTGATTATATGTATAATTAAATTTACATTGCATTACATTGGCCTAATGTCAGGACAGAAAGCATGTGATCTCAGCCTTTACTTCAGCAGCTGACCGGTGATTTCCCCAGGAGTCACCTGCAGGAGAGCTATTGGGATGGGTGAAAGAACATCAACAATCTTCTGTTTCTGCTTTTAGTGGACAAAAGAACAGAAAACGTTTCTGTTCTTACTGCTAAAGAGAAATGTGTGCCTCCTCTTCCAGAAAAAGATGTGTAAGCATGTGAAAATGTGTGGGCTGTTTCTGACATAAGGTCTGAAAGACGTGGGCATGCTCTTGGGAGTCACAGCTGAATCTAAATGTTTGCACTGGCATTCTACGAGTATGCTTATGTGGGAGAAGAAAAAATTCCCAAAGTGAGTAGGATATTATATATATCCACCTCCAGTTTGGTGCACAGGATGAAAGGCCACACTTACCCAGAGTCAGATTTACACCAAAGATTTTTAAATTTAGCAGGGGGATTTGTCTCTTTAGCAAGAATCTGCAGTTAGTAAGATTTTTGATATCTTGATTTGCTTAGGTATCTCTTTTTATCATTAATTGGAGACTGCCACCATATATTGTGGATCATGCTATGTATCTTTGGAACAAATGGAAAACGCAGTATAAGTGATTTATTTCAGAACATAGCATAATAGGGCTGTGTAAAATATTGAAAAAGAATGTTCTGCAAAATGCATTGCTGTGAATGAAGCACCTCACAAGGATCATGTAGTCCAACTTTCCACAGTATGCAGGAAAATCAATTAAATTATCCAGGAGAGATGACCACCAGCTTTCTTAAAAATTTCCAGAGATAGAGTCTCCACAGTGTTCCATTGTTGTACAGATCTTACTCTCATTAAGTTCTTCCCTATATTTAAATGAAATTTAGGTAGCTGAAGAACTCTACTAATTACCTTTCTCCAACTCAACACTGAGCATTAATGCTGACTCTTTGAGTGTGGTTAGCCAGCTAGTTGTGGACCCATTTTATTGTAGTGTTATCCAAACCAAATTTTAACAGCTTGCCAATGAGAATGTCATATAAAACTTCTCAAAAGCTTTGCTGAAATCAAGGTAGATTACTTCCACAGCATTCATTTTGTCCACTAGAGTAGTTACCTGTTAAAAAAAGATAAAAGATTTGTCTCACGTGATTTATTTTTGATAAAGCCATGCTGGGCTTCTGGATACCCCATTTCAAGTGCTTCTCAATTCAGTGTCCTCTGGTTTTGTATAGTTTCTAACCTGCATACCGTTCAGTTGCTCTAGCTGGACAACATGGGAGCTGGAGTCTCAATTTATCTGGAGGGCATCAGATTGGAGAAAGACTAGTCTAAGCTGTTAATAAGAAGTCATTTTTAATTTCCTCTACACTAAACCCCCACCCCACCCAGGTAGCTATTTGTCAGATGAACTAATGTTGTAAAGGAGGTCGTATGGAAAATGTAAAAATCAGCAGAGATATTTATATTCCTGAATTATTTACTCTTAGGATTGTTGAATAGAACATGCTTCTTCATCTCCAAAAACATTGTGGAAAAAAAGTTTGTTTTTAAAAAGCAGAGTAAAAAATTTCCAGGCCACAGGTGGCAAAATCTAGGTTTGCAAGATGTAATTTGTTTTTAACTTGACCTTGGGGATCTACAAGCCAGAACAGACATGCAAAATAAAGGCACAAGCAAGAAGACATACCTTAATTTATTTATTAAATCAATTTATATGGCTGCCTTCTCGCAGATGGGACTCTGGATGACTAATAACATATTAAAACAATGCAAAAAACAGTGTCAACAAAACATAAAAAACCTCTGCAGTGGTCGCCAAGAACAAACCTGATCAGCACTTAACAACACAATAATATCTGATTTCACAGGCCATCTGACTTCCCTACCTGCATGCTCTGGAGCACATCCAGGTGTTCAGTGCTTTGCAAAAGGCTGGCAGATTTGGAGCCAACCTGATCTTGGCATGGGGGGCATGGAGTTCCAGAGGGCATGCGCTGCACCAAAACAGCCTGCTTCCTACATCCCATTTGATGGCATTCTTTAATTGAGGGGACCCAGAGCATGCTTTGACTTTCAGACCCTATAGGATGGGTAGAAACAACCAGGGAGATGTAGTTCTGCAAATAACCCACTCCTGTGCCATGATTTATCACTTAATTTAGAAGTTAAGGAACGCAATCCCTCCTGAATACATTTTGTAGATGAGAATTTTTGACTAATAAAGAACCAAACATTCATGTGTTTTACAAAAAAAATTAACTCAGTTGAAAGTTCTTATTGTTAGTCAATTTGGGATCTAAAAATCCTTGCTAATCTATCACAAATTACTCAGAGATTATCAATAGATTCCAATCTATCTTTTGGCCATTCCTGAACAAGATTCTTTTCACTTGAGGAGGCAAAGAACTTATGCAGTGTATGAGCTATCATTTACTCCTAAATAATCAGACCCAAAAAATATACAGTGATGTTCATTTCTGTGAATATAAATTTACCCACCATAAAAGTAGGCTGAACTGCCTCTTCATGCAAGCTCAAATGAAGGTCAAAAGCCAGAGAGCTAAACCATTAGCAGTTACAGAGACACCTAGATTTTAAATTCCTCAAACATTCTAATTTTGTCTGTTCTATTCATACAAAGCTGCAGAGATCCATAAAGACAGCAGAATATTTTGCATGAAGTGCATTTACTGTACAGTATAATCTTGCAACTTGAGACAAGTACAAGAGGAAGCTAGCATCATAATCAGCCACAAGGTGGTAGCATATCTTAAATCTAAGCAATTCGCAGAGCCATATTTAAAAAACAGTTTATTCCTGTCACATATTTCCCCTTCACCAGTCCAACTGACCCTGAAATTCTTGGGGAGGGATTCTTCATGCACTGTGGTTTAAATCTGACTTGTACTTCTCCTTGCTATTCCAGCTGAAGGACTTTTCCCAGCTGGAGAATATATTACTTGAAGAGAATGCATCTAGATCAACAGATGAAAGCAGGAGATTCATTCACTTTAAGAACTTTATTTTGTCATTGGAAAACAAAGGTGAAAAGGAAAAAAAAAACACAACTGGAAAAGAAAGGAAGCAGCAAAGATCTCAAGTTACAAAAGGATATAAAAATCAAAGAGATCTTTGGTAGAAAATGCTTTATAAAACTGCCACTTCTTCTTTTTGGAAGAGGTTTGTTCTCTGGAAAACAGGGAAGAAAGGAAAGACCAAAACCTCTCCCTAGGACATCCCAGTTCATTGCGCCATCCAGGACTTGCCACGTTACAAACAGCCACTCCCAGGCAGCCAACAGTAGGAGGGAGGGAACTGGGAATTTCCCTGTTCCAGAGTAAAGTTTACATACTAGAAACTTTGTTATCATCTCAGATTGGAAACCACTACTAGCAAGGGAAAAACAAATGCTCAGATTTGACAGGTCATGGCTTTCCAATCTACAGTAGTTCTGCAGTCTTTTTATGATAGTAATAACTTACCTGCCCATTTAAAATGCAGAGGGAATCTTGAGCACCCACTGATTGATGTCAGCATATACAGTCATAGACTGAACACAACTAAATGCTAAGCTTTAGAATGTGGGAAACAATTTCGGTTTATGATGATGCTTCTCCCATTAATTAAAGCTGGAAAAAAATGCCCCAATACCCATCATTAACATCTCCTTCGCAGCTTATGTTCAAAAGGAACAAGGAGAGTATGGGAACTTTCAGCTTCTGAGGAAGGGTGGCAGACCCTCCCTTACTCAGTAAGTTTAACTAGAAACTCAGTTCACAAATGCAATGTCAAGTGGCCAGCATAAAGCTGCCTAATAATCTAATAGGCTGGCACTTCCCTTTGCAGCAGTACTAGCAAATTGAACAGAACAGAAACTGACCTTTGCTCTGGTCCCGAGAACATCAATTATTCCAAGGCAAAAGTGACTAAGACGATACTTGTCCCCATGAGCTCAGCCTTCATGTTTGGTCAGTCCCAGAGGCTGCCAGCTGGAACAAAACAACATTCTGGCCCTGACAACTCTGTCCTGCCTCCATGGGAGGCAAAATCAGAGCTAAAATGAGAGATGGGGCAATTTGGTGTCTAGACACTGCAGCTAAAAGCGTGAGCATGAGTGGAGGCTGAATTAGCTAGTGAAGGAAGCAGATCAGGCTGAGTAGAGGAAATCAGGAAATACTTTGTGCAGAAAAAATAACTTTAAAAGAAATTATTTTGGCAGACTGAAGACAGGCAGCCCCTGACATATTCCATCATAGACTAGGGAACAGGGAAAAGGAAAAAGAGTGAGATCCGAAATATTTATTTATTAAATTTGTATGCCGCCCATCTCCTCCGTATTCCATTCACAATACGGTCTGGAAATTAAGGAGTTTCTCCAAATTTAGACAAACCAGGGAGTGTAAACAAGGGCCCAGTCTATCCAAACTTGCATCCCTTCAAAAAGGTAGCACTTCCACATTTTCAGGATTTAAAGTCAACACAAAGACGTTTCCCCTTCTTGCACTGGCTCCATAGTCTCAAAAATGGCTGAAGTTGTCCCAAGGGTCACATTATGACAAGGGGAATGATTCATTGGTGGTTAGCTGTGTTCCTGTCAGCCTCAAGTAGCAAAGTTATACTCCCTCTCACAAGATTAACTTTCCCATTTAGATGTTAGGATGTCCGACTGGAGCACATCACAGGCTTTCCGGAGATCTTCAGGTCATCAAAAGGCAAAAGTGTAAGGATCTGCCGACAAAAACCAAATAATGATACAGTCAGCAGTCAAGAAGGGTGCATACAAAAGAGCTAGTATTACCACTTCATCATGGAGAAAATCTATCCACGTGGTTTCTAAGAGTCAACACCGATTTGATGACTTGACAGCACATAATCAATTAATCAATCATCACTTCAATGGCTGACAAAAGTACCGAGCACAAACAGCTCACACAAGATTGTCAACGATCTAGTGAGGCCAGAAAGACCAATAATCTCTATTGTTAAACCCTTCTACCCATTATGCAGGAAGATTATTTGTGGTATTTTTTCCTTTGAACAGCAGGATATTCACAAGTAATTTACTATGTGTGATCCCTTTATATGTGCTTTGGGGACTAACATGTATAAGGGAAGAAAACACCTTTCAACAGATCACCTATGTGAACACCCCAAGCTTTCCCAAACAAGGCTAGATTCACCATTATAGGTACTACACAGAATACTAATTTGCGCTCTATCCTAATGCAAATGCGTAGAAATAGTTTTCTGAAATAGTTCTATGCACGTGATAATCTAGCAACTTCCTCCACATCAAGAACATGAGTTTATTACACAAAGAAAGAGTAATACTGTTCTTAAGTGTCAGGAACATCATTCCTATTGCACTGATATCCTGCCTTTCCTTAAGAAGCTCAGGCTATAATGTTTTATCTTCCTAACTACCTAGGAGGTGAGGTAAGTTAGGCAGTATGACAACAAATAGCTGAAGGTCACCATCTGAAGTGATATGAATCCAGATCTCTTAAGTACAATGCAGAACTCTATCTATTCTATCAGGGAGGAGACCAGAATGGCCATGTTCTCTGAGCTGGGGTGGGATTCACAACATGGGAGGGACATTTTGCAAATGTAGGCCAAAGGGGCCCAGTGGCCCTTGATTTCCATTTCAATCAGTTGCCTATATCTCAATAATGAAGGCAAACACGATTCAGCTTCAGAATAAGAGCTGGTATTCATTTTGACCTACATGTAGCTCTGGTTTGCTTGGATCCCTATCTTCCTGATGTGGGAAGGACATCAGTTATCATCCTGCCTCACTGCAGCATAATTGCTGAAATCTGCCTATCCTGCCTTCTATAGTTGCTTGCAACTGAAAGAAGCTGCAATAATGCCAAAGCAGTAGTAACACCAAGGCAGACTATCCAGTTTAGCAGCTTCTCCCTGCACATAGCCTTAAAGATTAAGATCAGATAGATGTGAACTGGAATTTGGCAAACCAAAGGTACAAATAGCATCATAGAAACAGACAACTGCAGTCACCAGAACTCCCTATTCCTGCTTTTTTGCTAAATACCGTATGCTAAAACTTAAGAATTATACAACATAATCTGCATCTCTACCTTACTTTTAGATCAGGAGTGGGCAACCCACAGCTAATTGGCTTCCCATGCTCCTCCAGTGCCCTGAGAGTATACTGATGAAATTCAGTGGCAAAATGTAGGCATTCTGATGTGCGAGGTTTCTCAATTAACAATGGGACTGGAAATCTTCTAGGAAGAATACTGCTTCTATTCCCTCTCTGACAACCATTCAAATACACCCCAAAATTGAAATTTTTCATCTTTCCATTGCTTTGGCCTTGGGGGTGGTGTTCAGTGTGGGAATGGAAAGCTTCTCAGAGATAATGGTGCCAATCCCTGCTTTTAAACCACCAGCCTCCAAATTGCATTCTGAAAAATGAACATTTGGGGGCATTTTTCAGGATTTATAGAGGTTCCTCCTAACATCTCTTCAAACAGGCCAAACCTTTCAATACTCCATTTCACGTTGTCACTGAATGGCCTCTTGCCCTCTAGAAAACTGACAGACTGAAGTGTGGCCCCCAAATTCCCCACCCTTATCCTACATCCAAATCTGATTATTTAGCTCTTGCCTACAGAGCCCAAACTATTGCAACTCATTCCAGAGAGATTCTCACATCATCATTGCCATCTGCCAGATCTTGAGCTGTCTCATTTTCCATATTCCGCAATAAGGTATCTGCTCCTGAATGGCAGAGGACTGCAGCAATGGCAGCGTCATTCCTGCCTACAGCCAGGTGCAGTGGGGTACAGCCGTTGTACATCTGTGAATCCACTTGGGCTCCCAATCGCAGGAGGTGCCTCACAGCCACCTCATCATGATTCTCCACTGCCAAATGTAGGGGTGTCTTTCCACTTGTGCCATCCTGAGAGAAATAACAAGAGTTGTTTCAGGAGACCTCATGAGCAAAATTCCAAAAAACATACCTTTCCCTGTAGATACAGTAAGAAACCTAGATTCCATACTATAAAAGCCTGCCACACTTCTTGGCCTTTGAGTGAAAAGGAGCAACAATTAAAACCAGCTGCAAACAAAATAAGAGAAAGAGAAAGCTCCTTCTGAGCCACGATGCACTGAGGGATTCAAGCAAACCTAGAAGAGCCTGTGGTAGGGATCACAATGGCATAGCAGTTCCTAAGCATTCTGTTCCTGGAGATGCAAAAACTGATCAAGGAGGCTCGACTGCAGTCATGTTAGTATGCCAGCCCAAGAGGAAGCAATCAAGGTTGTACATAATTTCTGAAATGGTCTGACTCCTTAGAATCAAAACTGACTCCTGGTGACTACATTGATGTTGATGTCATTTTGTTGGCAGCAATGCAGAATTGGTTTGCTATTGCCTTATTCCAGGATCGATCTGCCCATCCTTCCTTCCTTCCTTGTTTCCCAGTCATCTACGCAGCCCTAAGATTTCCAGGCAGGTTCCCATCCTGGTCTGATCCTGTTTAGCTTTCTAGAATCAATCTTCTGTTGATGGCATGTAATCACTAACTAATTCCAAAGATCATTCTAAAGAAAGTTTTATCCTGTAAGTTAAGAGTTATCCTGTTTGTCTGCACCAAAGAAGGAAAGAGGAGCTACGCAAAGCTACAGCTCAGCCTTCCTCTATCCCCTCTCCCCCCTTTTGGAGATTTCACTAGGCACTCCCTACATTTTCAGCATTAAACTTAGCCATTCCAGTACCTCTTCTAAAGCCAACTTTTAAATTCTGCAGCATGCAGAATTTTGTATTCAGTAAGAAATTTTCAGAAAAGGTATGGCTTTGACATATATGGGAGATGGAGGTCTGCTAAATGTCCCTAACTTACTTGCACATTAATGTCAGCTCCATTCTGCACCAGCAATGCCATCAATTGAAGGTTCCCTTTCAAGGTGCTGATGTGAAGACAAGTCAAGCCTGGAGGGAGGGGAAAAAAAACAACAACCCAAACAGCTCAAGAAACTTGTTACAAGTTAAGCATTTAAGCCCTGACTTTAACACTCATCAGACACAATGGGATCACTCCAAACTCTTCTTCACCTTGCCAGTTCTGGAGTTGCAGATCTTGTAGAGTTTTTCTAGTCTTCATGTCAGAGACTGATTTCTTCAGAGGCAGCAACAGCTCAACACATTCCAGACTCTGCTGTTCACAGGCCAAGTGCAGAGCAGTATTTCCATTGCGGTCCTGCAATGCCGTGTTCACCCCTTTCAGAATTAGTGCTTCCACCACTTTGCACTGCTCCAGATATACAGACAAGTGAAGCGGAGTCTGCAAATGGCAAAAAAAAAAAGAGGAATGTAGGCGCGGGGGGAGTGGGGAGGTAAGGCAGGTATGGAACTTGGACTCATTTGGATTTTAACTGCACCACAAGAAATACAGAATTCAGTAGTGGATGCAAAGTTCAGCATCCTGAAAATGAGGAAGGAAAGCAAGTGGGCAATACTTAGACAGCCCTCTAAATCCAGAGGTTGACACTTAGAATTTCCAGCAATTAGAAGGTCTCCATATTTAGAATTGGCACTTTATTCCTTCCCATGATTAGCAGAAGCCAGAAAAATCTGTTCAGAATAAGTATCCTTTAAATATGCAAATAATTAATAAGGCTGGTAGATCTTTAGTGTTGTATGAGCTGCTTTTTAAAACAAAATCATAATAAAAATGATTACTGTAATATAAGACAAAAAAGACATTGATGATCAAGATTATTTCTGGAAATGTCAGATATCTAAAGCAGATTTTCTTTATAAAATCTTTTGGCCCTGTTTACATATTAAATTATTCTAGATTGATGTGCTATGTAACTGTCAACAAATGAGATGCCTGAACTGGTAAAGTTATTTTTTTGTACTATTTAAAGAAATGTGGAATCTTTGTATTTACATTGTATACTCAAGTTATTAATAACAACTAAAATGAATACAGTATAATATTAGAAATCAATATAAGCATTTACATAGATGGATTAGTAAAGGGTACTATGAGATTTAGCACTGCTTGTAAAATTATTTTGTCAAGTGGTCAGTATAACTCAGATAATAATGATCATTTTAAACAAAAAGGGCTATTAGCTATTTAAGAAATTATAAAATTCAGATTAAGACATAGCCACATGTTTTTGCTATTCTAGGTATCTTTTTTTTTTTTAAGAAGAAAAATAAGGAAAAAATAAGGAGCTATGCAAGCTTAAGTAATATAGGTTAAAGAATTTGGAGTATCCTGGTGAAAACATTTCATTAATTTGTTTACATTTCAGAGAGTACACAATTCTGGAGAAAAATGAAGGGCCAGTGCTAGCTTTCAGTTCTATCTTGGCTTGGTTTTTGTCTGCTACGCATTTTGCTGATGCAGACACACATCTATGTATTTTGTTAATTGATTGATCACGTGCCATCAAGTTGTTTTCCGCTCCTACAAACCCATAGGGGTGTCCCAGTACTTATCCGGACTCTCCCTCGTTAATTAGACAAGAGTTAAGCCTTGCTTGAAGATATACAAGTTGTTGCATGTGAAGGGAACCACTTATAACAGAGCGCCAAAAACATCTTGGCATAAGAAATAGTACCACAAAAATTCCAAGAAAAATTTCCAAGAATGTTGCAGAGAAGCAGCATAATAGGTCTCTGTGTTTAAACCACTTCCAGAGCACAGACAAAAATGCTTATTTATCATCAAGAGCACTTTAGCTTCCAGCCTTAGATTGTTACCCCACTGCAGCTTGCTTTCTTCCAGCTAGAATAGAAGAACCCCTCATCCTTCTTCACATCTCTCACCACGTACTTGGAATAAATCGTTCTGGAGTTCCAAAACCTCAACGGGCATTTGGGCAATGCAGCAGAATGCAATAGATGGCATGCAGTGGATGATTGCCAGGTGCAGTAACCTGAGGGGGGGAAAAGATTAGTCATTCCAACCTGTAGAAATAAAGAAGGACTTCCCTTCAAGCCAACAAAACATTCTTATGCAGCAAAGCCACAGTTGCTGGTTTATGTTTAGCTCTCAGAAGTAAACTAGCACACTTGCTTATTGGAAAATTGAGTCAGACTTGTGCATGTATACTGTAACAATTTCCATGTTACACCTTTTCACAGGCCAAAATATACTTCATACAGCAAAGACATTTACTGCTTGCAACATGTCAGCCATTCATTTCCTGGTGAGCACTAAAGTTTGAAGAGAAGACACATGTCTCTAAATGCATGGTGATCCATCAGAAAGGGAGCCATACATTCTCGGCAACTGTCCCACCAACTTAATTGAAATTGCCAGAAGACAAATATAGTGCTATCAATATTCAAACTTAAAATGCAAGCCAAACATCTGCTTTTAAAATACACATAGAGAGAGAAGGGGGTGGGGGTGGGGGTAGAACCTTCTGGTTCAAAGACAGGCAGCAAAATTTTAAGTAATGCCACGCAGAAAAGGTCTCCTTCATTCTTTCAACTAGATCTCATTCAATTTGATATAAAAGAGAATTTCATTTCAAAATAGAAAAAAAGTTTACTGAAACTTCTGTCAGTGCAGATTGGTATTCTTGCACTTATTTAATAACAACATGGCTAAGAGGTATTTTTGAGTATCCCACCCTTCACAGTAAGTGATCTTTCCAGCAATCTGTAGCTCTCCTGACTATTGCCTTGTAATTAAATTTTAACAGACAACCATCATGATGGATTGCTTCTACTTCAGATTGTGAAATGTGAGCAGCCAGGAGGCTTCAAAGTGATGAAAGATGTGTAACAAAAAGCAACTGTTCCTGTACCACCCTTTAGCACCTCCAACAATTAAATAAGCTCAAAAAATGCTACCAAGAAAAATGCAAAAGAAAATTTCAACCTCTATAAGAATAAGGTAGAAAAACAGAAACCTTTTTTAAAGAAACTGCAAAATGGTTATCAGCCCAGCATTGGTTTAAGACAGTATTTCTCAACCTTGGCAACTTTAAGCTGTGTGGACTTCTGGCTGGGAAATTCTGGGAGTTGAAGCCCACACACTTGAAGTTGCCAAGGTTGAGAGACACTGGTTTAAGGCATACATGGGAAGGCCCTGAGTTTCTTCAACTGCCTAAAAGTGACATCTAGCTCCAGTCCAGTGAGAACGGGCAAGAGAAGAAGTGGTGGAACAGACACTTCTACTTAGTTATTGTAAAATAGCTGACCAGGGAACAGGTCTGAGTCAGAGTGCTGTAGCAAGGCTGGATTCTAAAGCTTTGCAGCCTAGGAACTCCCAGCTTCCCCCCCCCCCCTCCACCCAGTAATTGCCCAGAGAGGGGAAGATGACAAAGGCAGTAGCAAACATTACATCTGCACCAGAGACATCATGAGTGTGTAAGAACAAATGATGGTTGCTGTAGTATTCTATCTTGTTTAAAAAAAAAAAAAACATTTTATACAGAGGACGCCCAGCTGTGTGTCCCTGGATACAGATGTTTCCTTTTGTTATGTTTCCTTTTAAAACAAACTATATGCATTTATTAGGACAATTGAAGTAAATCCCATGTTATAATTCTCTGATTTAATTAATATAAAATTACATAAACATACACACACACACGTATGTATATAAAAATAAAATCAGCGTTGATTTTTTTCCTCCTTTCTCTAATACACCAGGAATGTTAAATCAGTTTACAGCAGGGGTTGGCAAACTATGGCCCGTTGGCAAAATCCAGTCCGCTGCCTGCTTCTGTACGGAGTGGATGGACAGGCAGCAGATTACCAGGTGTGAGCCTCAACCAAGGTCCCTCGGGGTGGGGGAGTGGGCATGGGGTGTCCTAGGTGGCAGCCTATCAGCAGCCTCCTTGCTGGCAGGCCGGTGCTGTCCAATGGCTGCTGGGCTCCTTGGCCTGCAGACCTACCAGCTGTGCCCACAGAGGCAGAGGAGGGGCAAGACCTGCAGAAAAAGTTTGCCAACCCCTGATTTAAAGCATAGACTACCGGGAGCAAGCAGGAAAAATAGACATGTTAGCTGTATGCATTATGAGTGAAGTTATGACCAGCTGGAGGTGGGCTTTACTTAGCTCAGCCACTCATACTCTACCATTTAAGGCCAATTCTGCTAACTTCCTTAGCCTATAGTACCAACAGTTGTTATAATAACTATTTATATTGAATGTAGATATTCTTTTATAAATATACTTTTCCAATATTTAGCAAGCAACTGAACTCATGAAAATTCAGCTGAATCTTGTATATATAATATGTAACTGCCACAATGACATTGCTCTGAGAAAGTTGCTATTAAAAGCATAAAAACAACCATCAACAACACCTGCAGATTAGAAGGTAGATATTTGAATAAGAAAATGAAAAAATAAATAGGGATGCGCATTGTACAAGACTTTGTTGGAGAGGGGGTTAAACAAGATTCAGAAGAATCTAATATGGCTAACAAATCTATGTGATATCTAAGTTTCTTCTGTGAGTATTTAGCTACCAGCAGAAGAAATAATATATGACTACAACTGAAGCAGAGCTCAGTTTACTGCCTAATCAGATATAATTCTAGAGGGGGAAAAAAAGCTTTGTAATCTTTTTAGTATAGAAGTTATACTAACTATTTGCTAAAGTGAGCAAATAAGTGCAAATATAGTGAGTTTTTTTTTAAATACTGTTATTTCCAGACCAAGCTGTTTTTTAAAAATCACAATCATTTCCTATCCCCAGAAATAATTTCAGAATCAATGCAAGATGCATTATTAGCATGTGCCAACTTTTTTAAAAATGACATTCACATTTATTTGGTTGATATAACATATTTCCAGGAAGCTAACCAACTTTATAAAGATCATGATGCACTTGCAAATGGGTCTTTAAAAACAAACGTTCATTTTTACTGTACATTATGAAGCACTCTGGTGTCCCAGGCTCTACTAAAGGGGATTTCCATAGAGGAAAGGGGAGGGAGCTGAGAGGCTGTACTCGCAGTTGATGGAGCAATCAGGAAAGAAGAGGGAGGGGAGAAAGGAAAGGTGGTTAACCTCACAAGCACCAAAACACCTGGAATGGCCCCCTGGGTGCCCATATTACAGACTTTTTTTTTAGAGGTGTGCACAAAAGCATGAATGTTCTGCTCTATAAATAGAGTGGCTGCAGTTCAGGCAATCAGCCCCGGGGAAGCCCAAAGTCACATGGTGTGGGGAATTTCCTTGCCCACCACAGTTGCCTCAGCAACGGGACAGGGGAGTGTGGCCAAGCAGCCAATGCTCGGCTGCTTTTTCCAGCAGACACAAATTGCTGGGGGAAGACAGAGGTTACCTTGCTTGGGCACTGGCATCCACCTTGGCAGTGCTGGGGTTACAAGGCTGCAATGAAAAATTAACCCTCCCCTCACAGACAATTTTTTTTTTTACTGCATAGCTACTGCCTTTTGCCAAATAAGTTTTTGAAGCTTGCCACAAAGCTGCATGTTTCTCTAGGGCAGCATCCCTGGGGTTAAAGGCATAAAAACAAGGATAGTTTTTTAAAAAATAAGTAGCTGGCAATTCCGACTGCCCTGCCAACGTGTCAGGACTAGTCTGCCAGTCCCCTCAGTGGTCTTCTGAGGTGCATGTAAAGCATGTTCTGGTACCTGCAGATGACTGATGGAGAACTAGTTAAGAAATAAGAAAACAGAAAACAGTGTAATAAAAGAGAAACTTAAGTGAATTGCTTTATTATAGCTATGTGAGCCCTCTCCAATCTAGAGTTATCCAGAAGATGGACACTGATTCCCAGAATTCCCTCTCTCCTATGCTGTCTGATCACTGTAGTTGAAGGAATCTGGGCTGGATCTGATCTGGGCTCTTCCTGGCCATTATTCCTCTGTTCTTCAATAAATCATCCTCACCAGGCACAGAGCCCAACTCTCCCATCCTAAGAAGTCATTGGTTTTAATGTTAGCTTTAAAATTAAACATAATAGGACTATTTAACATGCCCACACAGTCCTATGTCATCATTTGAAAACCTGGAAGAAAAAAAAAAAGAAAAGAGCCCACTCATATGCTTTTTGTGACTAGGCAATGGAGCAAGTAGCCATTTACAAGCTTGGCTGAAAGAAACTGCCAAAAGGAAAACATTTTTAAAACCACAACTCAGCTTCACCCACATATACCATCTGCAAGTTTTGAAACTGTTTTCCATATCAGCAAGGCCTTTATGTGAGTAAGCTAACTTCTTAGACTTGCTACATACTCCTATACAACACTTTAATAAATATAGCAAGAGGCACACAGGTTAAATTTACAGGTTGTTTTTCAAATCTGTTGTTTATCTGAAAAGCAGGATGACATGCAGCATTTCCAACAGACTTAGGAAAATAGCTTAGAATATCACACTGTACTTTTATCATTATTATTTAATACAGAAGCAGCAAAGGGGTAGAAATGAACAGAGGTTGCAGAAAAGCAGTCAGTTGTACTAGCTGGAGCTGGGAAGACCCAGGGTCAAATCACTACTTAGTTATAAAGTTCATGTGGTGATCTGGGGTCAGTCATTCTCTCAACCTATCAGACTTCACAGAATAGTTCTACGGATAAAAGGGAAGTAGGGAAAACAAGTGGGGAGGGGAGCAAGAATGGCCATTGTCTGTCTTTTATTCATGTACTGTACTTATTTATTACTTGCCCACGTAGTAAATATGATTTGAGAGGGGTCTTTCTTCCAAATAATGCAGAGAGACAGAAGGAGTGAATCCCACCACTGGGTCTGATCAAACATCTTTGGCAGCATATTGGAAAAGAAAACTTCCAATACCAGGTTAGTGGAGGGAAGAGTGACATAAGTGTCTAATTCCATGAAAGGAGACTCATCTTTTAGATCATCTTCAAGTCTCAGGAAGCATCCTAAGTGTTCTCTTGAACATAATGGTGCATGATCATGATAGGAGTCATCTGGTTCACCAT